TTAATTCTAAGGAGTTCTATACACTAAACTAGGTTTCACAGTTTTGAAAACAAATTTTATTTGTAATGTCGAACATTCGATGACAAAATATTTGTGCTTACCATTAATCAGACTTCTTACTAGGGTTTGAAGACAGTTCGTTTTTTGAGCTGAAGGAATTACATCCACTATTCATTATATTCTATGCAGCACTGCAGAAAATCTTTTCATTTTTTAAAATATCAATTAAAAAACATCTCCACGGAAAATCAATATGTAAAATTCTGAAGCTTTCAGAAATTCAATATTCCAGAGAATTTTAACTTTGGAACATTTCTAGTTTACTACAGATTCTTGGTGAACAACCTCTAGTTGAAATCAATAATATCTGAAGTGGATATCAAATTATTCAAAGTAGTTTTTCCTATCTTCGTCGTGCTTGAGATATCACGGTAAAATATGAAACCAAATATATAACAATTGCTGTTATTTGGAAATAAAAACCGCATTTTGCAAATACTCAACAACTGGTGGTCAGAATAAGCCTGCAAGGTCACCTGATTTGAGTTATCAAGTCTTGAAGTATTGAAGTGAGGTTTACCAAGAATCTGTGATTTATAGAATATCATAAACATAGGTTCCCATGTAATTATCACCAATCACTGAAAACTAATCAAAACCAAACGTTAGAAATATTGATATTACAGGGTGGAAGTAGTAGATATAAGAATCTTGATATTTTTTTGACAGATATGTAACTTTCGATAGTTTGAGAGGTTTTGTGACATTTGAGAAGTATACGCATTGACATATTTTTCACTTCGACATAAATATATCTCCAATATTAGGTCTCGAAAAAAGTTATGTATGATTATATTACTTCTTGTGGGTGAAGCTCATGGAGCGGTTCCAGTTTTTTCCTATCTCTATCCTGTTATTCAGGGGCCCTGTAAAAGGAAAAAATGATTGTACCAACAATAGAATTCCAACGAAGAAAAATCTTCCACGAACGTGGCATGGAATTGCTCACCAGTCACAAAAAAAAATGAATAAACTAGTAAAACAGTGCCGAAACTACCAATGATGAAAATTGAAATGAACATCATTTGGACATCTACAACCATCTCAAGAACATTAATAAGCACATATATAAAAAGAAGCAACGGAAAGGAGCTCATCTAAAAGAACACCGAAAGACGAAGAGGTGTGTGAGATTCTTTCCAACCCCACACTCAATACAAGGAAAAATTCAAAGAAAAGACAGATACTCAATTGGTTAGAGTGGGACAACTAAGAAGCATTCAGCATAATCACTAAACTATCACATGAAAAGCCTAAAATTGTATGTAGGAGGCATGATAGAAAGTATATGAGGATTGTGTTGGTCCAATCAACTACAATAATCATGCGTAGTGGGTTTTTAATTCTTCATCAAAATGGGATGTAAAGTCTTGGAATGATAACTCAAAATCAACATCTCATCGAGACAGACTAATATTGGAAATATATTCATTCCAAAGTATTGATCAGTTACCGAAAGTCAACAAAATTTCATTATTGTGATTGAGGATTTATTAGCATGCCTATTGGTTTAAAAAGTGACCCGTACATATGACAGCGTTTTCAATTTCAGTGGCCCAAAAAAATCTAATGATTATCACAATTATAATAACTGTTCAAATGTTATCTCACTTTCTGTAACTTTCACATAAACGTTTCAAGTAACTGCTGCAGATGAGGTCATCCTTTTTTTTTAAGTAAATTAACCATATGATCCGAATATTTTTTGAACAGATGAAATACTATTATGTATGGATAGGAAATAATGACTTCGTTTTTTTTTACTTCAAGAAAACTCTCCCAGGATTTCAATTACATTCATTCTTATTTTCAGTACAATTAGACCTATTAAATTATTGATGTAATAAAAATATCACGAGGCCATCACGAGCATCTTATAACTCCATATTCATGTTGTGTATCAGATACTTTTCAATTATTTTTTTAAGAATAAAACACAAGCACTATAGGAAAATCCTTGATCAAATCCATCTGCAAAAACGTTATCATGAAGTTTATTCCACATGAACGCAGTTCTCCAGATGGAGGAGTTCTTAAACAGTGAAGTATTGAGTTGTACCTCAGAACGATAAACAACCACAGTCCGTCGCGTATTTAAGATATGTACCACTCTTGGTGGAATCAAATATGCCAAGTCACTTGAACACCTCTCGTGAAAGTATCTATGAGAGAGAGACAAATCCTCAACATTTCTTAAATGTTCCAGATTATCAACATTGCAAGTGGTGTTCGTATCTTCAATCAGATAGGATGGCTCTTTTCTGGATAGAATCCAGCAGCTTCAGTGTATGCTTAGGGGCGGAGCTCCATACATGGGAACAATACCCTAAAGAAGGTCTGACCATAGATTTATAAAGCATCAAAAGTTGCTGGGGTTTGTATAGTTTTCTGGTTCGGAACAGTGTTCCAAGCTTTTGAGAAGCAGCCTTTGCAATTCCAGCGACATGATTGTGCCAAGACAGGTTGGTGTCTATTTTAACCTTCGTAGGAATTACTAGTTGGCTGAGCTAGCTGTCTCTGGTCAGGTCTGACGCTAGCTGTTTGATTCGCCCACGTGCAATACCAATTAAGCCGCCCTACGACTACATATGCTGAGTTAGCACATTGATATGTCTACCAGTTATATTTATTTCATACCAGAATCAGATTATATCAAAATCTTCAGGTGATGATCATCACTATCAGATTGGATATTCTGGTAGTGATTCTTAGGGCATACTTTTCACTTGGTAACTTCAAACTGGTAGAGTTGTAATTCGGTAGACTTTCAACTTGGTAGATATCCTGATTGATTTACATCGACGTTGGTTGAAATATAACTGGTATACTTGCAATTGATAGAATTGTCTAGGGGTATATCAGGATATTGTAGAGTTGTCATAGTTGAAAATATATAACTGATTGATTTATTAATGTGCCCCTTCTGATTTGCCTTTGACCAATAAGGTTGGTCGCAGCAAAGCAGAAGAATTCAGATGGAAAATCAAAGAACAGTTGGATCAAGAATCAGTTCCAACATCTAACATCGGCGATGGAGAACGAAGAGCTCTGAATGACCTACGGAGAGATAACATCATAAAAATCCTACCTGCAGATAAAAAAAACGCAACTGTTGTGATGGATACGTATCTCTACGAACAGAAGATCGAAGATGTTCTTCGGAAGTGGCAATACACGAAGATTGTACGGGACCCTACTGCATCAGTTGAAAGCAAGTTGTACCAGACTTTAAAAAAACAACAAGTCTATTTTTCGGAAAAGGAGAGATCATCGCTAACACCGCACCACAGTAAGCTCCCTCACCTGTATGGATTACCCAAGATCCACAAGAAGGGTATTCCACTCACACCGATCATTAGTTCCAATGATTGAGCTACTCAAAAATCGTCCAGATTTTCATTTTCAATTATACAAGGAAAAACTTCATCTTCTGTGAAGAATTCAAGACATCTTGTTGAATTACTAGAGGGAATCGAAGTCACGAAGCAAGATCTAATAATCAATTTTGACTTGGAAAGCCTTTACACCAACGTTTCGGTAAAAGAAGCACTTCAGATCATACGAGGATCTGGCATGCTGTGTACAGAGCTACTATTTCCAACTGACGGACGAATTCTTTAAGCAAGAAGCACGTTCACCAGTTATAGCCAACATATATTTTTAAACAGAAACAGATATATATGAAGTGATTTTGAACTTTGGCCACTAAAGAACCCCACAAGAAGCCCCAAGTCTGGTTGAGATACGTTGACAACACCTCCATAGTATGGAACCATGGAAATACAGAATTAGACACCTTTCTTAAGCACATCAACCTTCACAACAGAGAAGGAAGTTCTCAACGAATTGCCATACTTAGACGTATTGGTGAAGAAGACCGACACCAAGTTAGAAACATCTGTATACCGAAAACCCACTCACACGGGACGGTATCTGTCACGAATCCAAACATCATCAATCTACCAAAGAGGAATCATCAAGACTCCACTGAATCGTGCTTTTGGGCTCTGTGATACGAAGGAAGGTCTCGAGAACGAACTACATCATAAAAAAAAAGATCTTCAACGGAATGGTTAATCTAAAGTGATGGTGGAACAAATTTTGGTTAGTAGATAGCCAAACGTCATTTGGTATTGCATCTTAGTCCTAACGGATGCAATACTAATAGTCTCGACTAATAGTCTCGACTGTCTAGAGTATTATAAATTATATGGAAAAAATTACAGTGGAAATGGAAGATACTTCATCTGATTGTAGCCTGAGCTGGATTAGACCTGTCGCGAATGATCGTTCAAGAGCCCAGTGTGACTATACGTACGTGAACAAATTGATATTTATTTTTACTTTTCGAAATAATTATTTTCAACTGAGAAAAAAAAGTTTTATTTGTTTTTTGGTTTATTTGGTCGAGAAAACAGCTTTCAAAAATTAACTGCTGTAAATTTACAAAATTGGGTACCATCTACTGAGTTGCGCGGTTGAAAACTAGCATGATCTTGATTCCTGACGTCAGTGACAGTTCACTTTTGTGGTATCTAAACGGTACACAAACTACAAACTGTAAGTTCTGTATATTTAATTTTGGATAGGACACATGCGCTAACTGATTGCGTCAGATATACAAGTGTAGTGGAATATGAATAAGTGTAGCGGAATTTTGGTTCATGTGTAGCGACTTTATAGTTCATCCAGTTGGCAACACTGGTGGAGTGGCTATTTAATAGGACAATGACTTTGATATTATGTGATGAGTCGCACAATTTGCCGCCTCTTGGACTTGCAGCCCGCGTGCAGTGCACGCCCGCTCTCGGCGGGACTGTTCCTGTAGAAACACGACGAATTCTAACCTGTCAGAATAAGTTCTGTATGTCGCTAAATTATGTTAGAAAAGCGTGCAAAACGTTTCATTACATCGTGTTCCAAAATAAAGGTGTACTCACCGAAAGATTTATTATTTTGCCGTCTGTACATTTCCAAGCAGGATTTTCGGTGAACCATTCGATGAGTTACAGCCTGGTATTTTTTGCGAAAGTCCTTCTCCGACTCGGTACTCGAAATAGAATCGTCACGGGAAGGTGGAATCTCTGAAAAGAATAATGGTAAATAGCAGATATGTATCTTCTTTGCAATGATAATTTGAAAATTTGATTGTAAGTTGAAAACATGTTTTCGACGATACAAGCTGCAGGTTGGTAGTCTACATATTGAAACGGAAGATTTTTTCTCATTCATGGACAAAACTTAAAGCACTACAGGAAACTCCTTGAGGCGCTCTAAGAGCGGTGTCTGTGCGAAAGTAGCACTTCACATTGGATTTGAATCGCTGAAGATTGAATTTATTTGGAAAAACGTTCTCAGGAAGTTTATTCCACACAAACGCAGTTCTCCAAAAGGAAGAGTTCTAAAACAGTGAAGTTTGAGGTGTACTGAGTTGAATCTCAAAACGATGAGCAGCCACAGTCCTTCGCGTATTTCTGATATGTACCGCTTTTGGTGGAATCAAATGTGTCAAGTCACTTGAACATTTCCCGTGAAAGTATCTATAGAATAGAAACAAATCTCCAACCTTTCTTCGATGTTTCAGACTATCAAGGTTGTGATGTTCGCGTCTCCAATCAGTTGGATGGCTCGTTACTGGATGGAATCTAACAGCTTCAGGGTATGTGTGGCAGCAAAGCTCAATACATGAGAACAATACTCCAAAGAAGGTCTGATCTGAGCTTTGTAAAGCATCAAAAGTTGCTGAGGTGTGTACAGTTTTCTGGTTCGGAACAGTGTTCCGAGCTTTCGAGAAGCACCCTTTTTTATTCCAGGGACATGATTGTGTCAAAACATATTGGTGTCCATTTTAACCCCCAACAAACTTATTGGAACAGAAAGCGGAATTGTCTGTCCTGACATCATTATATCCAGTTCAGAGACATTTATCTTCTTGGAACCTGGTTACTTTCACCCAAATTCGAAATCACCTCTAGATCCTCATTGAGATATGCAACCTCCTGCTGCCGGTGAAGATGTGCATCAGCAACTGATCTCCTGGAATCCAAATGGAATGACGAGACAAGTATGTTGTCGTCAGCAAAGCTATATATTCAATTTTTTTCAATAACTTGTTGATACACCAGAAACAGAATATTTATTTTTATCGGATAGTCACTTCTGAAGAAAAGAGGATCCTCTACGACACCTAGAGAAACGTTTAGGACAGTGGATGGAAACCGATAAGCCACCCAGGCAGTTCCCAAAAGCAAAACCCCATAAAAATAGACCATGGTTACTGTATGTGGTCAGCGGCTGATGTGATTCAGTATAATTTTCTCCAACCGAGACAAACCGGGCCAACCGTGCCAAACAGCAAAATCCTATTGTGAAGAAATTGAAAAAAGGTACCAAAAATTGAATCAGTAACAGAGTCGGTACTGGTCAACAAACAGGTCGGATCCTGCTCCACGACAACGCCCGTCCGTACATTTCGCAAGCGATTCCGTTTGGTGGAAATCCGTCTTAAAAGTTACTGGGCAAACACAACTAACTGGGAAAGCATACGGGAAAAACTTCAATGACCGACTTTCTCAAAATAGAGATCAACAAAGGTTTCTATGAGAAATATATGAGTCAGACGGCTCCCAAGTACCCAAAGAAGTTGTGAATCTTGTAAAGAATCATTTGATAAAATGGTTAAGGCTTTCGCGGCCGAGGTTTTCAGTGTCACTATTTTTCGGGTTTGAAGGCCGTCGATTTTTGGAATTTCTTCCTGACGTTTGGCTGACGCCAGTTGCTAGCTTTAGAGGTTCATACTTCCTGAATCAATCTTAGATGACTGGATAGTACGACTCCGTAAAGCATATTCCTGTTTTTGAGAAAGAATGTTTTGGATTTTCAACTACTCCATCTTGATACAAAAAAAATGGGAATCTTTCAAATAAATGATGGAAGCAATCAATTTCAAAAGAAGTAACTGTATACATAGATGTGTAGATCATACAAAGAAGTAACTTTCAGAAACAAACTGGAATAAGAGAAAGCTCTCCTGAAACAACTATGTACTTTCATATAAAAATTGAATTATACGAAAGAAAAATTATTTCGAACATTGAATTATACAAAAAACACTTTTCTCTACTCAGTTTGTATTCCAAACATTCGTTATGGAATTGAATCTGATGTCATTTACAGGATTTCTACTGAATGAAAGGTAAACATTTCACTTACATGGAACACTGTCATCCTCACTGGTTGACATCGATGTTTTGCTGTAAGATACTTGCCTTCGTTTGATTTCCAGGTTTCACAGTTTTTTTTACAAATTGAGTGCACCTGATCTCATAATGAGATCATCTTGTGCCTAACTAGTACTAATTAATTAGTGTTTGAACATTTGATATGTAATATATTATAAGCCTAAATAATATAATAATAAAGAAAATAATCTAAAATTATCAGGAGCTAAGAGACTGAACTAATATTATAAGAAATTGAGGAACTGAGAGAATTATATATTGGCATTCATTGTATGAGTACTTCAAGAGTTCTAGAGTTCATGAGAATGAAGGACATCAGCTTTTTGCAGAACTGTTTATAACTATTAATATTTTTTATGGATTCTGGGATGTAATTATAAATTTTAGGGCCATTGAATGCTATCGATTTCTTATAAAGGGTAGAATTAAGACGGGAAATATTTAAATGTTTCAGACCTTTTTGTCTTGTACTGTGACTGTGGGAAATCTCTTGGTGTTGCGTTCTATTTTTGTACATGAATTTCGCAATATACAGATGTTTAAAATCGAGCATTTTACTTCCTATGAAGAGCTGTTCACTGGAAAATTTGCCCCTTTTCCTTAGTATTACTTTCAAAATCCATTTCTGTGTGACTTTCAAACAGTTTATCTGATTAGTGTACGCAGCTCCCCATACTATTATTCCATAGGACATCACAGATTCTACTAAGGATTTATAGGCTACTTTCAAAATTTGTTTTGAAAGAATATCCCTGAGTTTATAAAATGCAAATACCAGTTTTTTAAGTTTGCTATTCAAATATACTGAATGGTTATCCCATCTGAGCATTTCACTGATGATAACTCCCAGATATTTGATTTCTGAAGTGTTTTGAATTGTCTTCCTACAATCGCAGTTGGTCAGATCACATCTCTCATGAAATTTAATTGATTTCAAGTTGGGTTTAACTTTTGGGCTGCTTGTGAAAGTTATGAATTTAGTCTTGCTCTCATTTAAGCTCAAGAGTTTACAGTCCATCCAACATTTGATTTGATATAAACCTTTTTCCGCGTTTTTCGTAACTTCTTGCCAATTTGTTCCATGGAACAGGAGAACCGTATCGTCCGCATATGAGATGATATCTCCACCTACTTCCATATTCAACATTTCATTGATATAGAGAAGAAATAACTCTCCGTGGTCTTCTTTGGTTATAATCTTCAAACGTTTTGATTGCGTGGTCGAAGTACTCTTCTTGACGTATCAACTGAAACTGAAGCTCTCATTTCTGCCGTGTCATTTTTAGTGCTAATTTTTCGCGCACTTTCTGTAATGGCGGGTTAACGCGTACTTCCCGCCTGATTTGGGTGACTCGGCTTCATTTTGGCACCTTCAAATGCTGTGTGCCAGATCTTTGGTAGATATGTTCTCCTTCTATTGAAGTTCTCTTGGTATTTGTGTATTTCCACGGCTTCTAAATACATTCTCGTTGAATAATTATTCGACGTTGCTAGCCATTCTCTTCATTATTCAACAAGAATGTATTTAGAAGCCATAGAACACCAAGAGAACTTCAACAGAAAGGAAGAAAGACCATATCTACCAAAGATCTGCCACACGGCATAGAAAAGCGCCAAAATGAAGCCGAGTCACCCAAATCAGGCGGGAAGTACGCGCTAACCCGCCATTACAGAAAGTGCGCGAAAAATTAGCACTAAAAATGACACGGCAGAAATGAGAGCTTCAGTTTCAGTTGATACGTCAAGATGAGTACTTCAACCACATTACTGAAGATGACTGCCGCAGTTGCAGTTGAAATGTTTGGAGATTATAACCAAAGACGACCACGGCAAAACCTGGAAACTAACAAAACATTGACGCCAGTCGTAAAAGCCTACATTTTCATATTTATGTTGACTCAGCTAGTTTGGTGGCTAGGTTCTATTGTACTTTTATTATTTTTCACTCTATGAGTATCTGATAAATCTTATTTTTGCTATTTATATTGATTTATAATATAAATTACATACTTACAGTGTGCTCTTTGACTATTCATGTTACGAAGAACACTTTTGTTAACGTGTATAATGTTATTTAATGTTGTCATTTTATGTTATGGTATGGTATGTTAGGTTATGTTAGGTTAGGTTATGTTATGTTAGGTTATGTTATTTTGTCATGTTGTGTTATGTTATGTGATGTTATGTGCTATGTTCTGTTCTGATATTTGAAATGATTTAATGAATTTTAAACAAGTTGTGTTACTGATATTCACCGTTAGGGCTCGAACAAGAGTTTCTGCAAGAGTTGACTTCGTCCCGCTCATCAATATGTATCCAGTAACCATCAATATAAGGCACATCGTAGACCCCAGTGTCGTCTTCGTTTTCAGGGTCACCAGGAAGAACGCTTGGGCTAGAATCGGTCGATTTCAATTCTTCTTGACTGTTAGTGGTCGACTTCGCCATTGGCCTCAGTTTGTTTCGGTATGTTCTTGCCCCACGTTCTTCGGACTAGAATATAAAATAATTATATACCGGCTGTTCCTAAATGTCAAGTGGATATTTGAGGCGGTGAAGCTAAGTACCATTATAAGAAAAAAGCTTCTAAAAATGTATTTCCAGAAAGATTCGTTTATGATACAACAGGGCGTTGTATCATAATGACCCTCGTATATCTGAAGCCATCAAGTTCAAACTTGGCACACAACTCTTGGTTCCTCTATTATTCTATCTTTCATAAATAAGCCATGATGAGGCATTTTATGTCAAAAAATTATTGAAAATTAAAAGGTGATTTTTGCGGGCTGAAGTTACTTCCTCATCTTCATTACGTTATTTGGAAGCATAATTCAACATTACCGAATATTGACGAAAGGAACCGAATTGTGAACGCCAACAACCAACAGATAACATGAGAGGAACCATGCCGCGAGGTCAGTTACTTTCGTTCTCAATGATTTCTTCTAAATTATAGGTACTCGTATGAAACTGCGGGGTATAGTTAGTTACTTTATAAGTCTAATTTATATAACATTTAACGCCCTGTTATGTCATGAACAAAAGCTCCTTAAAGATTTATATGACACTTAGAAACATCGTTACAAATCAAGCCGTTGAAAATGTTGGTTTCATCATATTCAAAAACCCACCTTTGCCCTAACTTCAGCTTTGTAGCGAGTTTTTTTACTCTCTACCAAGTTTCTGTCTTCTGATCTGATCCTTCTGTCGAACTTCTTGAACAACCTTCCAGAAGACTTTATCCTAGGAGAGTCCTCGAAACCCGCGGGAGGTTGCACAATCTCCTCTCGATGGTTTTCGTTGCTGCTGGCGCTTTTCTCTGGATCATCCGTCGTCACGATATCCACTTCTTTGCCGCAATGGAGACAGTGGACCTGGTGATCGGCAGCGATGTGGCTGCTGGGGTCGCTGTAGAAAACACTGTCGCTACCAGGGCTCACTGACCTCAAGGATTCTGCACTCAGCGCCTTCAGTTTGGCGACGTCTTCTGTTTTCTTTGAACTGTGGTTGCCGCTGTCTGGCTGGGATTCCACCGGACTGAAATAAAAGTGGCGCTTTCAGATGAAAATACATGAGTGTTACATCAGAACAAAGACTCCCACGGCCTGAGTCACGATTGGAGAGGACAAACTCCGGGCTGGAAGGCTCAGGTCGTACAGAATCTCAAGTACCAAACGTTTCATCTGCTACTGTGGTAGGCATCATCAGCGTTGACTGCGAGGGCGAAAGTTATATCTCGAAGTCTCAGTAATGACTGACTGATTTTAGAGTATGGCGTGGATGATGCTGGGGATTATGGAGTGGATGATGGTTGGGTCCATGCAAATGTAAACTCTTAATTGATCTGCACTTTTGCTGGGTTATTCTAATTGGTCCGTACTGTTACTAGGCTGTTCTCATTGGTCTACATTTTTGTCTCTTGAATGTCGATCGGAGTTGTATTCTAGTTCATTTCTCACCTTCCTGAATATAATACCACTCCGTGGGTGGGGCTACCTATCGGGCGCGTCCCAAGGTGGCGGATAGGGGAGCGGTCAGGGGACTTGAGGCCCTGTCCGGGAAGCCAATGTGGCTTTATGGACGGGGTCGCCGGACTCCTGGTCAGTGGCAGAAATAAGCAGGGTGAGGGGAACTAAAACTCCCCAAAAGCCTTTGCGAAACATGCCACCTTGAACCAGCCTACCCAAGCTAAGGTGTAAGGAATCGTGCCGACAGCTGAATGGCCGCAGGGTGATATGCGGTTACGAACGATCCCCTTGGAGAACCGGGCGAAACCTCATTGAAATCACCCTACCTCTGGTAATGCGGGGCTATGCCAGAGGTGACCAACTCTTCCTTTGCTACTCGTGAGAACACACATGAATGAAACAAACACAAAAACAGAAACAACAAAAACAAAAACCGTTCCCGAGGCTGGACAGAAGTGCTCACCTCAATTTAAGGTGGTGGCTGGGGATGAACAGAAATGTCCACCCCAATCTACCGCTTGAAATGAGGCTGGACGTAGCAGATCACCTCGTGATGTAATACAAAGGCCAAGGCGTAAGCGCATTTGCGGCGCCGAGGCCAAAAGGAGAAAGACAGCGAATGAGGCAGGAGTGGCAGCAACTATTAGTGCATCCTCCTCCTCCCCCACTCCACCTTAGCAAGGATACTTCCTGCGGCGAGCGCCAAGAGCTCCGCCTCAAGGCGGAGCCTTGCGGTTGCATCTGCAGAAAAGCGCCCTCACTTGTGCAGCTCCACGGAGGGAACCCCAAGAAGATTGAAGAAGCCGCGCAACAACAGTAATGCCGCTACACCTTCTAAAACCTTCGCGGAGGCCGCCGTGAGACACCTCAAAATTGCCAAAGAGAGTGTGTGTTTGGCGAGTCTTGGCCTACACCTGCCGATATGAAGGAGATGTCTCCTAGCGACCTGTCCACCTTCCTGGAAAGGACAGGATGGAAGATGACCTAGTAGGGAAACTCCTCGAGAGGATGTATAATGGGTCACATGTGGCCTAAGTGCTGTGGGCCTACACAAACCTTCCCTATTCTACAGATACAGATACTGTATACCACGTTCTGCTGACCCGTATAACTTTTTTTCCTGCTGAAATTGTTGGGATGCTTATGAATCTGGATAGCCTTCCTATTGAAATGTGTTGGATAAGATAGTATTTTATAGCGTGGTCTATTTCTACTAGGACATATTTCGCAATTGCAGATTTCTTCGGTTGCATGAGGTGGTAGATCCGCTTGTGTTCTTGTATCCTGGTGTTGATGCCGCGTTTGGAAGTTCTTATGTAGAGCTACAGAAACAGGGAATCCTATGAATAACGGCGGATATCGGAGCCTCTCTTTTGTCCTTGACCGATCTGATAGTGTTGCGTAGTTGATTAGTTGTCTTGTAAATGGTCTAAATGATGTGACGTTTATACAGTTTCCCAGTGCTATACGTGACTTTGTTTATGTAATGCAAATAGACTGTGCATACCACTGTCGGCTGAAGTTGGACAATTTCTTATTTGGATTATTTTGATTTCTTGTGCTATTGGCCTGTAGAGCTTGATGTAGATGACAAGGCTCTTCTTCAAGAAGACGTGGTTCACGGTTTGTAATCAAGAAACTGTACAAATTATAAAAAAATTCAAGAATTCAAATTCAGTAGGAGTTGACTGCATCTCAACAAAATTGGTGAAGAGCATAGCTTTGCAAATTGCTGAACCGCACAAATATAATAAATTAATCTATTGAATCGAACGTATTTCCTGAAGAACTCAAACGTGGCATGGTAACTCCAATTTATAAAAAGGACGACCCTCTCTCAATGGATACCTATAGGCAAATAACTGTACCCAGCATTATAAGCAAAATAATCGAGAGAGCTATGTACAATAGACTGATACCTTACCTTGACAAACATAAAATAATTAAGGACTCACAAAACGGGTTCTATCCTGGGAGATCTACTGAGACAGCTATTTGTACATTTGTTGAGTACATCTATAAATATCTCGATAGAAAAAAACTTGTAGGTGCTCTTTTTTTCGATCTCACGAAAGCTTTTGATTGCCTAGACCTAGATCATACTGAAACCAAACTGTACTCACTAGAGAGTGTTGTGTTCTCTTTTTATGACTGTTCCAATATCATTTGAATATTGATCTGGCTGGAATAAAATTATCATTATTATTATTATTATTAAAATTCTGGTAGCATGATCAACAAGTATTTTTATCATAGTACCACCAGCCCTGGATGGTGTTAAGAGATACGGATCACTATGAGTCGGTTTGCGATAAACTGTATGACCTAGTTTTCCGACAGTTGTCCTGTTGACCAGTACATCAAAAAATGATACCCTTCTTCCGTTTTCCTTTTCTATGGCAAACTAGATGCGGAGATGAATGGAGTTGAAGTGGCGCAGAAACGATTCTAATGCTTGTTTCCCGTGGCTCCAAATAACAAAAGTGTGAACATAGCAAAGCCGGTTTCGATGGAGCGGTACTGATCCCTTTCTTCTCCCGCTGAGTATTGTCTCACCCATGAGGAAGCTGATGAGGTAAGTGAGTGAATGGATGGCCAGAGATACAAGTTCGAATACGATCTGGTTCTGAGGAGCCAACTCGACAAAAATACTAGAATTCAGATTAAACTGGTCCAGAACGCAGATAAATTCGGAGAGATAAATTCGACAGAAAGTGATAGGTAAACTAGTGGAATAAGAATGATGTCATGCACACCACCAATGAAATCTAAGACTCTAATCCATAACATAGAACCTGCTGTGATGACAACTAGAGCACTTCATTCGATGTCTGATCGCCGCAGTCGTAGACGAAACGTCAACCATAAGAGCCAACAAACCCGGAAAATAGCTTGGACAGAACTATTTCCGGCCGCGAAATTTCATACTCTTTGATCAAAGTAATTTGTGTTACTCTCCCTATCCGAATTATCCTGATATGAACAAAATTTCTCATTCCTATATGTTCCAATATAAGCTATTCATTCTAGCAAAACGGTTTTCATTTGAAAAGTATACCTACTGAATATTACTGGAGTTTTTTCCCAACATCAAATTGTTATTTTTAACACCTCGATACGCGTTTCGATCACCAAGTGATTATCTTCAAAGAGGAAGATTAAAACTCTCTTTGAAGATGATCACTTGGTGATCGAAACACGTGTCGAGGTGTTAAAAATACCGATTTGGTGTTGGGAAAAAACTCCAGTAATATTCATTACTACACCAAAGGTTCCAAACAATGCATCATAAGTATACCTACTATTGAAAAATAAGTCTCCGGATCATATTTTACCCACCTGATCACAGCATTTTGATTGTTATCCGAGGACAAGCAATTATTATGCTGTGATTTAGACGATTTTCTCCTGGACAAACTTCCGGGTAAACTCATAAGTTGTTTTTTATCCGAATTATTCTTGACAGGCTTCTGATTCACCGGCGATCTCGGCAAAGACTTCCTTTTGTTGTTTTCCTTATTTTTCTTTCCTTTCCTCGGTGAATTCTGAGTGTTAATGTTCCCTCCAATATCGCAGCTGGATTCATCGGAGGTAGCTTTATTTTCGTTCTCTTCAAAGTATGGCGATCCGTGTGGGGATTTTTTCGGGTGGAAATTTTTCTTGCTCTGCATAGGACTGCGCATTCTTGATTTAGACCGTTTTGGCTTGTCCACAGACGGCGAGATTTTGATGTTCCTCTTATTTGGTTTGTAAATCGAGTTGGAGTTGATTTCCAAATACGATTTTGAGTTGTTCGTCAAATCCAATGTGAATTCTTTGGACTTTTTCAGGGTTTCACGTCTTGATGATGTCCATGTTGAACTGTAACAGAAAAAACAATTGAACGGTAAGGTTATCATTGTGTAATAGAGGAGAAATATTATCTGATATTCGTGTAATTCGTGAGTCTAAGAATTGATGCAATAATCGATTTTTTAAATATATAGGGTCTTCCAACAGTGACTTTCGAACTCTGACAATTGATAACGGCCAGCTTATTGAAGCTACATCTGTCAAATTGGGCTGGAGCAGTTGGCAACGGGCCTGATTTTCATCGAAAAATAATCTTCAGCGATGAGACCCATTTCTGGATGGTTGGGTACGTGAACAAACAAAATTGTCGAATTTGGGACTGAACCAATCCACATGAGATCCAAGAGCGTCCAATGCATCCGGATAAAGTCACTGTTTGTTGTAAGTTTTGAGCTGTCGGCGTCATCGGCCTATATTTATTCGAGAACGACGTTGGCCAAGTAATCACTGTCAACGGCGAGCACTAAATGTGGCATGGATTAGATGATTTGGACCCGAGAATACCTACCACAGAGAAGCGACATTAACGTCGGATCCTTTGATGTTCGGTGTCCCAACTCCAAACCGAAGATTTTGAGTGATAAACAACCTGGTTCATTGAGAAAAATGACCTCTCAGCGATATACACTAATAAAAAAACATACTCTTACGTTCTAGTATAGTACGTGGGCTCACTGTGAAATATTAAATTATAGTGTGAAGGGAATCTTACTCCATTCAATTTTTATATTGCTAATTGAACAACTTTCGCAGTAATAATAGAGAATATTCAACTATGTTGCCAATTTATTATTATTTATGATGAATTGGCTATTGAGAAATAAATTAAATCACTCTATTTTGTAAATCCAGTTCATTAGATAGAAAATTAAAATAGAGTTACGATAATAGAATAATACTTATATTATACAGGGTGATTCAAAATTACTTTGACAAACTTCAGGAGGTGATTCCTCACAATATTCTAATATGAATTGTCCAAATAAATAAATGTCCGGAAACGCTTCGTTTCCAACAGCAGGATGTTGAAGTTTTATTTTTATTTTCGTTTTTTTCAAATAACTTTTGAAATACTGAACTTAATTAAACGAAGCTTGGTAATAGGAGGTTTTTGAGGAGTCAAATTCGAACCTGATGTTCTTATTGCTAGTACTCGTAGGAGGCGCCACCTACACGTCTTTTTTGGGCGTACTTCTAGCACATTTTTCGGTAAAAAAATCGATTCCTCTATCATATCTACGTAAATGAGCTACCCTTGAAGGTGAAGGTGAAGGTGGACACTTCCAACAATTTATTTGAATACAATTTAGTTTCGTTTATTTTAGTTAATTCTACATATCCAAAATTTCCTGAAATAAAATGTTGACATTTCTTGCAAATTGTATTAAAACAAATACTGATTATGCACCCTTGATACAAAAATAACTATTTCGCTTAACGATGTCATAAAGGAACGTACCCAACAGTAATGACCTCTTCAAACGAGTAAAACGTCAAATTCATTTCCAAAGCATTCTTGTGAAAAAAGCAAAATATTCGTAATAACTTCAACATGCATCGATTATCAAATAATCGACTTGAAGTTTTCAAGTCCATATATTTAGAAAACCGTTGCTTACAGCGATTAGTAACAAGGGTAGCTTATTTACGTAGATATGATAGAGGAATCGATTTTTTTACTGAAAAATGTGCTAGAAGTACGCCCGAAAAAGTTATGAATCTTTGAAAAAGAAAAAGACGTGTAGGTGGCGCCCCCTACGAGTAAGAGCAATAAGAACATCAGGTTCGAATTTCGACACCTTAAAAACCTCCTATTACCAAGTTTCGTTTAATTAAGTTCATTATTTCAGTTTAATTTAGTTCAGTATTTCAAAAGTTATTTGAAAAAAACGAAAATAAAAATAAAACTTCAACATCCTGTATCTTGGAAACGAAGCGTTTCCGGACATTTATTTATTTGGACAATTCATATTGGAATATTGTGAGGAATCACCTCCTGAAGTTTGTCAAAGTACTTTTGAATCACCCTGTATAATAATTTCATATCCTCTGAAATAAATAAGTCCACTAAGGATGAATAGAAGTGACTTTTGTTATTTTATGTAATCTTAACTTAAACTTTCATTAACAACATCAATACAATCTGAGGGTTCTAATGGAGGGTTCTAATGGACACCAACGTCTTGTGGTTTCAACAGGACGGCGCTACGTGTCACACAGCTCATGCCACATTGGATATTCTTAACGAGCAATATGAGGGCATGGTCGTCTCACATGGAGGTGATATAAATCGGCCACTGGAATCGTGCGATTTGACCGATTTTTTCTTGTTGGGTTTTCTTGAGTCGCAGGTGTAGGAAAAGACCGGGTAATGGGAATCAGTCACTAACAAATCTCCAAAACTATAACCGCTAGAAACTCGTTTACTGCCGTCCCCGCCCAGCTCTGCCCCCCAGCTAGCGCTGCGAGCTCGCCGCCCCAGTATTGCAACGGTCTAGGGAATGACAGGTTTGTTTTGTTTTTACGTCTCGCCGATGTAAATTTTAATGGATGCAAAATGAACGGAAGTATTCTAATTTATTGATCTATTAGCATGTGACTTTCTTACACTTTTACTCGTACATTCAGTGTAACGATTTCATACTTAGATCCCGAGTATTGCTTATATATTTTTTGTGTTTATTTTTTTTCTTCATAAAATTCCTGTGGGTAATGACGATCGGGTGACCCCAATTGCCCGCTAGTGATCACGATTCCCCGCAATGTAAAGGCATACTATAATTTTGTTATTCTGCTTTTAGATGCCGATATACGAGTTAGAACTACCACAAAAGCTTACTGGTCAACTGACTTTGAATAAAGCGTTGAAACTTATTGAAGAAGATGGGTTTTCTATACAAAAAGTAGCTAAGGTTTCGACTTTTCATTTTTCAGACCATTTGAAGGGGCATATAAAAAAGAGTGCGATTCTGCCTCGCAGAAGATCATACCTTACGAAGTAGCATCCTTATTGGGCAAGGCATTTGATAACGTTGCGTCCATTAGTAAAGGAGACTTGGGATTTAGACCTACAGGTATTTATCCAATGAATACCGACGTATTTTGTGATGGAGATTTTCTACCAGCTGAATTGCTTCGATCAGAAACTGCAGCTATTCAAAACTTTGATGAGTCAGTTGCAATTAATAGCCCAGCGCCAGGCCTAGAAAGCTCTTCAGTACCTGGCACATCAATGCAAGTTAATTCACTGCTACCATCGGCGCCACCAAGAACTTCTAGCCCCTGGCCCATAAGTGGAAAGTGTTTCACTAGCACCTTGTCCAGTATATTCGCCAGTCTTTGGCCAAAATTTTAACATCCACGCCAATAAAAAAAACTTGATAGAAAAAGAGAACAAGAAAAGTAAAACCGCCTTCCCAGCCAAGGATAAGGGATAAGGGAAACCGAACCGAAAGAGTAAGAGGAAGGTTCTCCATGAATCACATGATACATCTGTTTCAGACGTGGCTACGCCTGATTTATGCCAAGACGATGAGCTAGATGATGCTAATGACGCAGGGAATACGTGCCTAATCTGCAACGAATTCGGCCGAAATAATGATGTTTGGTACAGGTGTACCTCATGTGGTTTATGCACGCAGATTGTACGGGGTGGTGGGTGCGATTTGTGCTAGATTTTTGTATGATCCTCATTGTCCACAGGGTGACCACAATTACCCTTACCTCAGTGCAAAGGGAATCAATTCCAATTATTGCTTAAGTGATCCCCATTAACCCATTATTAAAAAAGCAAAAACAAGAAAAAAGGGTTGTCTCTTCTCTTCTCAGTCAATAAATAATACTTTTCTCTTCTAATATAACAATTTTGTTAAAAATTGCTACAAATATTTCATAAGCACAAGTACTTGATTATGCTTATAAAAACAGGTCTAAAAGTAAATTTTATTGTCCAGCAAGAACCAACGGGGAGGTGAGAGTCGTGTCTTGCCAGGAAAGGAAAGGAAGGATGGGGTATTAAGGACGGTTACATCTGGTTTGTTTAAGTGAATCCACAAGGCACCCGCAAACTACTTTTAATCGGCGGTCATTCAAGTTCAATATTTTCTGCGAGGGTCCCGCAATTTGAAAGGTGAATTGAAAGGTGTATTTTGTAATTTTGGATAGAAAGGAAAAAAAACAAAAAAAAATGCTGAAAGTAAACATAACATTCGTTCTTAACCAAGAAGAACAAAAACTCAAAAAAACAAATTACAAAATGAATGAGTCACAAACTTTAATAAATAAAACATAACTCTAATATTTGGTAATATCTTTGGTTAAGTGCTTAACTTAAATAAATACAATATGCATTTTTATATACATTCTATAGTATATATTATTTAATTAATAGTAGGTAATTAATAGTATTAATTACCTACTCTACTTTAAATATAATCACTTCGTCATAAAATCGGGGGTTGCCTCTCACTTCTTTCATATACTCTTTTTCAATTGAAAGAAGAGATATATCACTTAATTTATTTTGAGTCATGGAATTTCTACTGAAGGATTTAATTCTTTTCAATTCTGAAAAATTTCTCTCAACTGACGCTGATGTTATGGGAACTGTCACAATTATTGATGTAAGTTTATATAACTCAGGCATGCAATCAAATTTTTAAACACAAAATTCAATAAATCTGAAGGAGACTTGTAATTTTTAAACATTTGAGGGTCGCTGTGCATTACGATTAATTCATTTTTCAGTTGAATTGTGAATTATATTTGCCCCATAACATTAAAAGTTCCTTGTAATTGCCGCGATTAATCGAATCTTCAGTTTCATCGTGTCCGCGAAAAGCTAATTCTTGGGAACCCAAATAAATCGTAATATCGATAAGTCTTTTTAAATTCGACCGATTTTCCCTAACCTTATTATTAAAAGAAATTATAGTCTCTTTTTGAGCTCTATCTGAAGCTGTTGCTATATTTTGTTTGCTAAACAATTTTAATTTACAAGACGAAAATATATGCTCCTTAGATTTAAAATCTCTTTCTGTAAAACGAAGAATTTTTTTTAAATCGGAGTATTCTAGTTTAGACCACGTTTGGTAATCGGAAAATAAAACACAGGGCCAACAAAAAAGTTTTTCTCGTTTAATGGAGCTGGTTAACCAATCAAATTTATCGTACCAACTAATACAGAATCCTCGATTTTGTCGATTATCTGACGCTTTAATTGAAATCAAATTTGGTTCCTTCCCAGAGTTTTGATAATGTAAAATGTATTATCATAAGATAAAGAATTAAAAATATTTGTCAACAACCAATCGACTATATCCTCAGATTTTTTAATTTCGTCCAACTTATCCATAATAAATGAAAAAAACTTACCGAAAAGTGAAAACCTGAAAACACCTTGAAATTGAAAGAAAACACTTTAAAAACACATTAAAAATATTGCTAAAAAGCACTGCTATAATACAATACTGCCTGAAACACTAAAACGATTTACCGAAATATTTTTCAGTCCCGATCCGTCACGGCATCCCGTCCGAATAATTGAATCAAAAACAAACGCAGCCATACACTAACGAAGACCAACTGGTGGCTAGCCTCCTCTAACGCTATAATTTCTGCAACTGAAATTACAAATCGGGACGTATGTCGTTGGCTGGATCGGTCTCGCGGAGCTCGTGTTTTTTAAAGCGGTCGGAGACTTGGCTCCCTTGCAACGTATGAACGTATGGCATTTATTATTTCGGGTTGATGGTTTCTTCGTTATTCGTTCGTGGGCGGTGCGGTTTGTTGATGCAGGATACAGTGTGGTACGTACTACATAGTGAGTGATAGTGTTTTTTCGGGCATATTATGTATTTATATTGAAAATTAATGGTAAAGTAACGATACCCAAGCATTTTCAGAAAAAAATAGTCATAATTATTTGTCAACATCTTTAATTTATTGCGATAAATAGCCTCAAATGTTATGGGGAGGCTAAGACTCCCTTGCCACCTCTGACGAGCTGCATATCATGACATCAATAGGCCTTTCAAACGAAAAAAACAGATCGATGATATATCACACATATTTTATTTTATTGAAGTTCATAAATAGGAAGCGCTCAGTGAAAGACCCGTTATTAGGAATCGATATGCTAATTGAATACGCCCTCTGCTTCTGCTAGCCCACTAGTTGAAACCAAAGCCGAAATCTGATGAAACCGAGGTTAGGTCTACACTGTTCTTTCTGACTTTGAAAGCTTTATAATCTTCATTCATCATTGATAATTATAGATTGAGACTGCCTCAGATCTGATAGACTGTACCACTTTTCTATATCCTTTTAAAATTGTTTATACGTACTCATCCTCCATGGGAGACTCGTAGTAACCGGACGAGGAATACCGGACGCTCCTCTCGTCGTCGGAGAGGACGCATCCCTTTCTGGAGGTTCTCGAAGGCACTGTGGATCTATCCAAGATGTCCGGGGTGGATCCTCCCACGCTGTAACTGCCGCAAGAAGAGCTGCTGTCTTCGGACGGAGTGGAACGGCCGGTGCGAATTTGAGGCACTGGGGTATTGCAAAGGCTACGGGAATCGGTTATGGATGCGGAGGGCGAGAAGGACGGCACGACCATGTCATCACCGAGCAGGTCTATGCCTCTGGTGCTTTCGAAGCTAGAACCCTCGTTCAGTTGGGCTTGGAGATTGTTGAACATTTCCATTCCCTGGAAGAAGAGATTTCAATCAATGCTCAGCAATCGCTACCAGGTTATTATCATTCAATGAACGTAGGACGGCATAGCCGTTCAAAGTTATCAAATCAGTTTCAATAACTGCTCAGATCGTTATTGAATACGTTAATTGCTGACACAAATGAAACGCCTCAGGCAGGTCGTTATAGTAGGAAAATGTTGGCGTCCCTACAGTGTTCTTACAGTGTTTTATTACACAACACAACAAAGTTTTTGTTTCGGGGTTGAAATTAGATGATTTTAATGTATTTCCACGTGTTAAAACCGAAAGTGACCATAAAAATTATATATTAGCTCTTGTTTTCAAGATATAGTATCATTATATTATATATATGTATATTGAGTTTTCAACAAATGAAATATTTCATCACCAACAGTTGGTACACATGTTTGTTTACATAACACCCCTCTCATCAGCTGTTCTTAAGTAGTAAACATAACCTATGTGAGTTTGTCAATTGTACGCACGTGGTTGCTATTGAAATTATCGTGTGAAGTTGATTTTTAAATTAATTTAAGTGCTGATCTGAAATGCCTCGAAAGTGTGTGAATTCTGTCGATAGCTTTTGCTATATATGTGGTGAAATAACATTTAAGGCTCAGAAACGTAAAATGACACCTATCGTTAAGA